CAACAAGAAATCAGCAAGTACATGAAGAATTAAGGAACAAACATAGCAGAATCTGCAGGGTGCGTGGGCTACTCTGGCCCCACTGGTAAGCAACATAATTGCTATTTTTTACATACCTCAAATGATATAGGTACCTGGGTAATAGACACAGGTGCTACGTCACATATATGCCATGATTTTAGTCTACTTTCCAAACCCGTAAAGCTGGAACCCACAATACCTGTTTCACTACTAGATGGAACTTTGAGACACTCGACCCACAAAAGAACCCTAAGATTGTGTAATAATCTAATATTACGTGATGTCCTTTACATACCAAAGTTTTCTTACAACATGATTTCTATCAAAAAATTAACTCAAGTATCAAATACCTATATATCCTTTTATCCCAACTATTGTTTTGTGCAGGATTTGACGACTAACAAAAAAATTAAAGAAGGGAACAATAATAGAGGGCTTGTACACCATGATTAAATATACAGATTCTGACAAAGCATGCATCAGCCACACCCAAGAAAATAACCTACAACTATGGCACAAAAGACTTAGTCACACGTCCACACAAAAAATGACTCACATTCCTAGCTTAAAGTTATCAAATAGTGTAGATTCACATGTTTGTGAAATATGCCCCTTGACAAAACAATAATGCTTGTCTTTTCCCAAAAGTTTTATTACTACTAATGATATTTGTAGTTTGATATATGTTGATCTTTGGGGTCCTTACTCTGTTAATTCCATTTCTGGTGCATCTTATTTTTTAACTATAATGGATGATTTTTCGCGAACTACATAGACTTATTTGCCAAAAGAGAAAACAAGTGTACCAAGCATTTTAAAATATTTTTGTAATATGATACAAAACCAATTTCAAAAAACAATCAACGTCATTAGGACAAACAATGGCACTGAATTTGTAAATATTTCATGGGAAATATTTTTCTAGAAAAGGGTATTGTGCATCAAAGAACCTGTGCATACACAACACAGCAAAATCGAGTGGTAGAAAAAAAACATAAACACATACTGCAAGTTCCCAGAACACTGATGTTTGAATCAAATTAATGAAAAAGTTTTTGAGGTGAAATGATACTCATAGCCACATACATAATAAATGTTTTACCAAGCTCCGTTTTAAAATGGAAAACTCCCTATGAAGTTTTGCACAAAAAATGACCAGATTACTCTATTCTAAGGGTTTTCAGCTGCCTGTGTTTTGCTACCAATGTTTACCCTAAAAAAAAAAACAAATTTGATGTTATAACCTTAAAATGCATTTTTTTAGGGTATGCAACTAGTGTTAAAGCATACAAACTATATGACATATCAAACGGGAAAATAATTTTTTCAAGGGATGTCGTATTCCACGAACATATTTATCCATACCAAACACAACCTCCTCAACCAGACTACCATAACACACCATTACCAATACCCAATATTAACACACCAGATATAACCGAAAACCAGCTGCAAAAGAGAGAAGAAATACCCTCACCTGACATTACACCACAAGAGCCCAAAATTAGGAGGAGTACCAATGTGAGAAGCAAGCCTATCTGGATGGAAGACTTTGTTGCTCATGTCACCGAGCCACCTGCACCCGAACTCCCCTTCCTCATGTCCACCTCACTTACAAACAATCGTGGCTATATTAATTTCATTGCACAAGTGTCTACTACAAAGGAACCAAAATCATACAGGGATGCTAAAGAAGACAACAGGTGGGTTAAGGCCGTGCAAGCCGAATTATCTACTCTGAAAGACAACAACACTTGGGAATTAACTGTGTTACCAAAAAGAAAGAGAGCGATTGACTCCAAATGGATATATAAAATTAAGTACAATGTAGATGATTCAGTTGATAGGTATAACACAAGACTTGCTGCCAAGGGTTATAACCAAGAGCTTAGTGTAGACTACCAAGATAATTTCTCACTGGTGACCAAGATGGTCACGATTCGGCTGCTCCTTGCTATAGCAGCCGCAAATGACTAGCCAGTGCACCAATTAAACATTAACAATGCTTATTTACACGGGTTCGTAGAGGAAGAACTATATCTAAAACCCCTAAAAGGTTACTCTAAGACTAGTGAAGGACAAGTCTACCATATGACTAAGAGCCTACATGGTCTAAAGCAGGTTAGACGCCAATAAAATAAGGAGCTCACCTCAAAGCTCCAGTCCATCAACTTCACAAAATCAGAAGCTGATCACTGCCTATTCACAACAGGGATAAAAGAAAATTATGTTGCAGTTGTGGTGTATATAGATGACTTACTCATTATAGGTCCTAATGAAAGAGAAATCCACAAAGTTCAATATGCCCTTGATGAAGCTTTCACAGTAAAGGATCTCGGACAAGCACGATATTTTCTTGGCGGTCGAAATAGCCAGGTCGAAGGAAGGCATCTACATCAAAAAAAGAAAATATATCAACGATATTTTACAGGATACAAGAATGGAGGATGCAAAAGGAAGTCATTTACCCTTACCTTCCGGACTAAAATTAAATACAGAAGAAGAAGAAATTTTACCAGATCTGGAGAGGTATAGGCGTTTAATCAAATGTTTGCTCTACCTCAACTTCACCAGACCCGATATATCCTACTCTACCCAATATTTAAGTCAGTTCATGCAACAGCCTAGATAACCGCATCTCGATGCCGTGCTCCATGTCGTCAGATACCTAAAGCAATATCTGGGATAAGGCCTCTTCTTTGCAAGAAGAAATGACTTCAAAGTCCAAGCCTTTTGTGACTCGGACTAGGCATCATGCCCGATGACTCGTAAATCTCTAACAGGCTTTTACATTTTTCTCGGGTCGTCACTGATCTCCTAGAAAATAAAAAAGTAAATGATGATAAGTAAGTCCTCCACGAAAGCTTAGTATAGAAGCATGTCCTCTACAGTGTGTGAAGTTCAACAAATCACTTACCTCATTCGAGACTTCCAGATAATGCCTCATTTACCCGTAATACTGAATTGTGGCAACAAAACCATAGAACACATTGCAGCAAACACAATTTTTCATGAACAAGCAAAACATTTAGAAATCGACTACCATAGTCTGCAACTAGGTACAAAATGGTTTCATCAAAACAAAACATGTTACCTCAAAAGAGCAGCTCGTGGATTTACTCACTAAACCCTTAGGAACTTCAGCATATCACTGCCTTCTATTCAAGATGAAGCACTTGTAACAAGAAAACACAAGCATCCAAGAACAAGTGGGAGCTCGAGGAGTAAGAAAGTTAATGAGCTTCATCTTGAGGAGCGGGTGAAAAAATGAAAGAACATGTGTTTTTTAATTAGTGGACAAGTGGACCGTCTAGATTAATAACCCAAAATGAAGGGCCATGATTTTTTCTCTTTTTTTGAGTGGTTGTTTGTTGTGATGTATAGTTATAGGTTTCAGTAGATTCCAGAAACCATTTTCCGGTTTTCTCTTTTCTCCAGCATGTATAAATGTACCCATGCCTAATACACAAATCACAAGAAAATTAAATATCATTTAATCTTATTTTTCTTGCTACCCATTAGTTTTCTTTACAATAGTTCATGACATTATTACAACAAAGCCATTCTTCAGCATACTTGGTATAAGTATCTCATGTTTCTTATTAAAACATCAATTTTTTTTTTAATTTTCTGATATGTCTCTCTACCTCCCAACTCATTTAATACAACTAGAAAACACCCCATTGTCCCTTTGGATTAGCGACATTAATGCCTCATATCACATTGTGTTTACACCATGTTTATACTCAAGTAATGCAACATATATATCTTCTACAATTGTTTTACCAAATGGTGATAATGTTTCACATATTAGGACTCTGAAGATATCTGATACTTTAGTTCTTGACAATGTTTTATGTGTTTCATGCTTTAATTCTAATATTATTTCATCAAGATATTGGCTGAGGATCTAAAATGTTGCCTTATTTTCTCACTACAGCTTTATGTGATACATGACATTTTGACTTGGAAGGTAATTGGAGTAGCTAAAGTGGAGCATGGTTTGTACTAGCTATAGTAACACAAAGTCCAATATGTAGGACGATACTAAGCTCTATCTGTAACTGTTGTTTTTAAATTCAATCATAATGAAGTATTTGACCTATGGAATTACTATCTGGGAAATTCTTCATTATCTAGGTCAGGCTTTCTTATAAATGTATCTAAAGATATTAAACATAAAACTTATTATGTTTGCCTACTCGCTAAACTTCATAGATTATTATTTTCAATTAGCAAGATAAGTCTAAGCATTGTTTGGACACATTGGGATGTTTAAGGACCTTGTAAAAAAGTATCTTATGATGAATATCATTATTTTCTTTATTTTGTGGATGATTTTAGTAGAAGTACTTGGTTTACCTACTTAAGCCCAAATAGAACATTGGCTTTACTCTAGAGAACTTCTACACCCCTCATAGAAATACTATTCAATGGCAAAATCAAAACCATTCGCACTGACAATGGGAGAGAATTTGAAATTTTTATCTAGAAAATAGAATCATCCATTAAAGAAATTATCTAAGGTCACCTGAGTAGAATGGGAAAGTAGAAAAAAATATCAGCAGATATTGAACATTGCTAGGGCTTTAAAACTCTAAAGTGGTCTTAGTGTAAGATACTGAAGTCATTTTATTTTGACAAAAATGTATTTTTAATAGAACATCATCATTTATGATTAAACATAAAACTCCATTTGACCTTTTGTGTGGAAAAAAAACTAAATTATACATTGATCAAGTTTTTTGGGTGTTTAGTATTTGCTTCCACCTTAACCAACAATAGGCACAAATTTGATCTTAAGGGAAAAAAATGTGTTTTTCTAGGCTAACTATTTAGTGCTAATGGATAAAAATTGCTTAATGTTGAGACTAGAAAAGATATTTCTTTCAAGGAATGTGGTATTTTACGAGAATATCTTTCCTTGCAGGTCTTTAATTAATAAAAACATTAATCTCAAATTCATTGATTCACAATACATTAAGCCAATAATCACACAAGATGTTAATCCTACTAAAAATTTGAAAGGGGATCATAACTTGAGGGATATTGGGATGAGTCTTTGTGATTATCAATTAGATAATACCAATCCCACTTTGTTTCTTCCATCCTTTGATAAAGAGAGATTTCTTGAGATCCCAAAACATGAAGATAATAGGACAAACTTTCGTGATCCAATAAGAAGATCTACCTAGATTATAAGCATCCTACTTACTTGAGGTACTTTATATGAGAATAGACTGATACTCTAATCACTCACTCACAGTTATCTGACGAGGAGAATATGTACACAAATAAGCTTGTACCTATATATTTTAGTGTTTCATATGTTAAACTGATTGACAGGTATAAAGGTTTTATGTTCTCCATCAATTCTCAAAATAAGTCAAGTTCATATCAAAAAGTTTGTGAGAATCCAAGTTGGATAGAGGCTACGATAACAAAAATTAATGCACTGGAGCTAAGTTAGACTTGGACACTTATTAATTTATCGCCCATTAAAAACACAATAGGATGCAAATGGGTGTAGAAGATTCAATTTAATGCAAATATATTAGTTGAGAGATACAATATAAGATTCGTTCTAAAGGGATTCATTTAAAAGGGAGGGGTTGGACTATCACAAAACATTCTCGCTAGTTGTAAAAATTGCCTCTATAAGATTACTTGTTTCTCTAGCAGCTGTTAAGAGTTGGTATCTCCCCCAATTTAATGTCAACAATGTTTTTCTGCATGAGGATTTGGATGGGAAGGTGTACATAAATTTAGCACCGAGTTACCCAAATAAAGGAAAACTAAAGGTGTATAAACTACTGAAGAACATAAATGGCTTTAAATAAGCCTTATGGTAGTAATATACGGAACTTTCAACCTTCATCATTCAGTAGGATTTTGTGTAGTGTTTGGGATTATAACCTATACACCAAGAATGATGGGAAAATCAATGACATTATCATAGCATGCAATGATATGAGATTCAATATATCATCTAAAGTTTGTAATAAGTGAGAAGTTAAAGATCAAGGATTTTGGAGACCTTAAGTTTTTAGACATTGAAGTAGTACAGTCTAAGAATGAAATATAAATCTATCAATAGAAATATGCATTAAATTTGTTGAAGGAGACAACAAGTTTAGTTCAAAAATTTGGAAGTTGTTGTTGAATTAGAAGCTTAGGTTGTACAAAAAAGATGGTGAAATCATCTCTGACCCAACAATGTAAAAAATCAAGCTTACGCAATTGACCTATACGAGACCATAGGTTAAATGAGACTGTATTTGTTTTACACAATCTAGCTCCTCGGTTAATTTATAAAACACCCATGTGATCAACACATTAACGCTGCTTTCAAGGTATTTAAATAAATCATAAGTACACCTGTGCATTGATGCATGTTCTTTAGAATTACAACTAAATATATAGTGCTATCAACTGGGAAGCCTATCTAGATACTTGAAGATATGTGGCAGGATATTGTGTCTTTTTTACATCATCTTTGATCTCCTGGAAGTCAAAAGAGCAATACACTAGGTTTGGGGTCCTCAATAAAGGTAGAATATCAGGAAATGGTCACTACATACTGTAAATTAACCTAGATGAGGTATCTATTACCTAATTTGGAGATTAAACATTCACAAGTTGCCATATTATATTGTGACAATATAGTTGTAATGCATATTACAGTAAATCTCGTGGTTCATGAGAAAACTAAGCATATAGAGTTAGATTAGTATCTAATCTGCGAGAAATTTAGAATTGGATTATAATGACAAAGCATGTTGAAAGCTCATGGCAAATTGCTAATATGTCCAAGATGGGAGTAAGAAATGTTTACTCTTCATTTTGTTAGGGGTGCTAAATTATAGGGGCCCACGCAGTCTGAATTGGACTTAATGCAGGTTGTGGAGCCCCGAAAGAGATCTACACATGTACATTATATACATATATATGCATGTAGAGGTAAGGTTAAAAAAAGAATATAAATGTGTATGAAACGTGTATTTATAACTTATTTGTACCCTATATAAGTACATTTTTTTCCTCGAAATTAAAGGTAAGAATAAAGAAAGGAGAACCTGTTAGGAACTGGATGCAATAAAAAAAATTAGGTTTCACTGAATCACTCCACGTAGTGAACCAGCCTGACCCGTTATCTTGGAACCGACCCAACTGTTCATTTTCTTCCTCCATCTGATGCCATATGTAGTTAAAACATTTTATTTCTTCATTATCTTAGCAACAATAGTGACAATTGAAAAGAGTTTTCTTGTGCCATTTTGTGTATATAAATAAAAGATTGAAAATCAAGTAACTTTTTATGGAATAAAATCACAGTTTATTATTCTCTCTCTATATTTTTTATTTTTCTCTTCTCTCTTCTCTCTCTATATTTCTTTTTTTTCTCTTTCTAACAGCCTCTCCCTCTCTATATATGTCTCTCTCTTTTTAAAACATTCTTTTTTTCTCTCTCCATTTCTTTCTTCCTCTAAAAACAGGTTTCCCTCTCTCTATCTCTCTTCTTCTCTCTTTCATACTTCTTTTCTTCTCTCTTTCCAAAAATCTTATTTTCTTTCCTAAAATTCTAATTCTGTCTCACACTTTTTTAATTCTAAATTCTCTAAAAATTTTCAAATTATCTCATAATTACCCCAAAATCTTTTAACCTTAATATTTTTTTCGAAATTATGGGTCCAATAAATTACATGTTATTATCGAGTCCTGACAATTTAGTAGTAGAGCAGCTCGATTCTGACGAAACTCTAGCAAACTTCATAACCGTGGTGAAAAATAAGGGTAAAGCTACAGTGTCTGAACCATTAAAGATATAAACTTTTGAGAAAAATATACGCGAGATTGATGAAAAATTCTCGGATTTTAGATCTGAAATGTATGAATCGCAATAATAAACTCGAGCCATAGTAGATCAACGACTGACTATATTTGGCCAACAACTGGAAAGACTCACTGAAATCATGCAAACAGTATGCAACTTGGTGAAATAGTCATTCAGATGAGTCCCTTTGCCTCTATTTTAAATATTAAAAAAGGAATATTATCGAACCCAAGTACTAATGAAATTGGGATTGATAGTTCATATCAAAAGGGTAATCAAGCTGGTTACCTAATTCCAAAAATTGAAATTCTATTTTTGATGGGCAAATCCTAGA